ATAAATCGATCCCAGAACATCGATGGCGTGCCTCCGGACCAGCCGGTAAGTGTAGACTAGCCCTTAGAGCCCTCCTTGTCCTTTTGTTCTTATGACTAAAGTGATGTTGGTCTAAACTGGAGAGCTCCAAATAAAAGGAAAGTGGGGGTGGGAAGTAGCACCATATAAAAAACTGGTACCTACTGTTCGTAACTGTTGTTTTTTGAGATGTGTTGCTCATTCCATTCTAGATGTGTGCACGCACACGTGCACAGTCGTCCGAGATTTTTGTCTTAGCGGTATCCGTAGGGTCAGCTGTGGCGCCTCCTTGAGTGCCACGCACATGCACTGGTATATAGGCACCACTGATCCTATCCCCTCTCAGTTCCTTCTTCCCAACAACTCTGACAGAGGGGTAGGAGGGCAAGTAATGGAATGGACATGAGCAACAGATCTTGAACAATGGTTACAAAAGGTAGGTAAGCATTTTTTTTTCTTCGAGTGCTTGCTCATGTCAATTCCATTCTAGGTGACTCACAAGCATTATCAATGGAGGTGGGCTCGGAGTTCACAGTTTAGCGGGTTGCAGTACTGCTCTACCAAAGCCAGCATTGTCCCAGGCCTGCTGGGTAAGTGCATAATAGGACGTGAACGTGTGGACGGACAACCAGATGGCCACTCTACAGATGTCCTGAATAGGCACTTGGGCTAGGAAAGCTGCCGAAGAGGCTTGTGCCCTGGCTGAGTGGGAGATGACAATTGCTGGAGGTGACACCTGTGCCTGATCGTAGCACCAGCAAATGCAGACGGTGATCCAAGAAGAAATTCTTTGAGCGGACACTGGATGACCTTTTACCGTTGGCCACCGCAACAAATAGTTGGGTCAACTTGCAGAATGGCTTGGTCCTTTCAATGTAGAAGGCTAGCGCCCTTCTGACTTCTAGGGAATGCAACCTACGCTCCTCCGACTTATGTGGCTTTGGAAAAAAGACAGGTAAGTAAATGTCCTGGCCTATATGAAACTGTGAGACCATCTTGGGCAGGAAAGCCGGGTGAGGCTGCAGCTGGATCTTATCTTTGTAAAAGACTGTCTAAGGCGATTCTGAGATAAGTGCCTTAATCTCAGAGACCTGGCAGGCAGATGTTATTGCAACCAAGAACGTGACCTTCCAAGAAAGGTGAAGGAGAGAGCAGGAAGCCAGAGTCTCGAAGAGGAGCCCAGTGAGCCACGACAGCACAAGATTCAGATCCCATGGAGGGACGGGTTTCCTGATGTGAGCGTAGAGGTGCTCGAGGCCCTTGAGGAACCTGGCAGTCATGTCCTGGGCGAAAACTGACCTACCTTCGAGCAGGTGATGGAAGGCCAGGATAGCGGCCTTGGTAGATGAAAGGGACAGGCCTTGGAGCTTGAGATGCAGAAAGTAGTCCAGAATTAACTGCAGAGAGGCCCACGCAGGCGGAATGCCTTTATCCGAGGTCCAAGAAGCAAACTGTTTCCCTTTGGCCAGGTAGGTTGTTCATGTGGAGGGCTTTCTGCTGCCCAACTGGGCCTGCTGGACACTGGCTGAGCACTCCTGCTCCTCTGCATTTAACCATGCAACAGCCAAGCCATCAGGTGCTGCACCGCCACGGTTGGATGCAGAAGACTGCCGTGGTTTTGGGACAGCAGGTGTGGCCTGAGCAGTAGCTGCAATGGAGCAGCCACCAAGAGGTTCAGAAACGTGCCAAACCAGTGCTGGCGCGGCCAACCTGGCGCTATGAGGACCACTATCACCCTGTCCTGCTTGATCTTCATGATGACCCTATGAATTAATAGCACTGGGGGAAAGGCGTACAACAGAGCCCCCGACCACGGGAGTAGGAAAGCGTCTGACAGGAAGCCTCTGTCGATCCCCTGAATTGAGCAGCAAATGTGGCATTTCCTGTTCTGCCTAGATGTGAACAGGTCCACCTGGGGAGTTCCCCACCTCTGGGGGATGATGTTGACCACTTTCGGATGGAGGGACCACTCGTGATGAGACGAGAAGGTCCTGCTGAGGCGATCTGCCAAATCGTTCCTGGCCCTGGGGAGATATGCGGCTATGAGACGGAATCCGTGTTTTACACAGAAGTCCCAGAGCTGGAGAGCTCCTTGGCAAAGGGCAGACTATCTGGCTCTGCCTTGCTTTTTGATACAGAACATAGCCACTGTATTGTCTATCAGGACCTGGACCGCCCTGCTTTTTATGTGAGGTAGGAAGTCTTGGCAGGCCAGGCGAACCACTCTGAGCTCCCTGACATTGACATGTAGGGAGCAATTGTGACTCAATCATCACCCTTGCATGCTAAGATCGCCCAGGTGGGCTCCCCACCCCAGGTCTGAGGCATCAGGGATGAGAGTCACCAACGGAGACGGAGCTACAAAGGGAACTCCCTCCAACACCGATGAAGGATTCTGCCACCAGGTGAATGACTAAGTTAGTCTCTAAGGTGCCACAAGTACTCCTCGTTCTTTTAGTATGTGTCTGGGACCCAAACCACCCAGTCCATGCTATGTCTGTTGGGGACATAGACTGATGCAGCCACACCTGCAGGGGCCTGAGACGGCGCCACACATGTCGGACCACCAAAGCGCAGGCCGCCATGGGGCTCAACAATTGCAGGCAAGCATGAGCGATGGTGAGAGGATGGGCTTACATGCACTTAACTTAAATGCCCCC